CTTATCACAGAGCACCGCGGAAAAGCATTTTATAGGAAGTTCACGCCTTCTTCCCAACCGATGTTGCAAAACTTGTCCAGAGGTGGGGTTTGAACCACGGGTCTTACATTTCTGAGGCAAGTGCGCTACCACTGCGCCACGCCTGCTTCTCTTAATAGACTTATTCTTGGTCCGTCGAGGCGAGTTATGATGCTCTTTAGTGAGCTTATGAACTTAACTTTTCCAAACTTGGTAGGTGGCCTCTATATGGTAATTAGCAAGAGAAAGATAAGTCATAATACAACAATTAAGGTAACGTACTTGGACATGATGGGTAACATTGAAATGCGTTAGATTAAGTGTTTTTATCAGTCACGCGTTGACTATTGTTTAAATTATTTTAACAAACGATGTAACCAGGTGTTGAATGAACAAATAAATAAAATTATACGCATAATAGTATGAACTAATTGTGGAACTCGATTCTAACAGATAAATAAAGACTATAACTTCCACTCTACTTTTTAAACGTGAAAAAAACAACACATATTCGATTTTGATTATAATCAATTACTAACTTACTTTTAAAACCTTTATTTAACCTTAGTTACTTAATATTTTATATATTGATGCAATACGGTTTTATTTTGTTTTTTCAATATGTGTTTTCTTCAATATTTATGAATTTCAAAGTTATGTTATTATATAAAAACTTTATGCATGTGTATTATATACAAGATTATATCTAAATTTGTAACAATGGGACTGGATGATAAGACCATATCTTCTGCCAGCTCCTGTCGGAGTTTTTTAAAACTTTATATTGTTATGTTGTAAAACATTGTAAAGCTTATTTTGAAGGACGAAATAAAAATAAATTAATTAGTTAATAACAACATGGCTGGCATAAACTAAACTAATTTCTAGCTATTTTGTCACTGAAAAAACTTTAAATAAAAGATAAGTAAAACCATGCTATAATAAAACATCAATAAAATTATTAACATCATAAAAGAATTCAGATATTGCGTCATTAATGTGCTGTAGAGCTTAATAGAGCTTGATATTTCTCAGGTGTTGTTTAGAAAAAAAGTTTTTAATCTGTTAACTATCATACTTTTTTATATCTTTAATTAGACACTATCAGAAATGAAACTAATTGATATCTTTTTAAATAGTACTATTTCATTACATTTTTACGGCGATTTTACAACTTTTAATTCTGCTAATTTTGAAAACGAAAACGTTGAGGTTTTTTTTTTAAAAAAAAAAAGTACAATCAATTTCATCTCTCACAATGTAAATTAAGATTTACGGCACAAAATATAGAAAATATAACATTGACAGATATAACAAAATCAATTTTCTATCAATAATATTACATAACAAATTAAATTTTTTCTTCAGTTTTTGGCAGCAATGTCATTGGTAAATACGTACAAATATTTCATTTCTAAATAATTTTGTCAGATCAATAGAAAAAATTGTTTTTTCTAAAGATGTGATGTCACATCACTTTACCATGTGTGACGTGAGTTTCCGCGCTAATGTTTTTAGCTTAAAGATACTCATACCTAACGTTGCCAAAACTTTTCGTTGTTTACTTTAAACTAATCATAAGAATAGTTTTAAAAGATTCAAATAAATTCAAAATTAATTCTGATTATGCAATTGTAAACAAAATAAAAAAATATCTAAAAAATATTTTCAAAGAAAGTAAAAAATAAGGATTTGGCTAATCGCGAGGTTAGAATTATTTTGTTTTATCTACACAAATCAAAAAATTGAGTTAAATCATTTTTTTTTTTTTAAGGATAAAATATTTATTTTTTACAAACAAATTAGTAAAAAAAAACTAACTTACTATACCTGACATTGCATTTTGTTTTATCTCCTTAATCCTGTTTAAAAATTAAAATTATAATGTGCTATATCAGTTTTATCCAATCAAAAGTTATTTAGTTTTTATTATATATATATATATATATATATATATATATATATATATATATATATATATATATATATATATATATATATATATATATATATATATATATATATATATATATATATATATATATATATATATATATATATATATATATATATATAATTTTATTCAGAAACTGATCTGACTGTTCTTGGTTATCATGATTATAATCCTAAAAAAGCACCAGCTCGTTGTCTGTTCCTACGTTGAGGAAAAACTAGGAAACGAAAGTCACCACCTAAAACTTGGGTACAGAATGTGAGAAAGCAGCTAAAACAATCTGATCAGTCGTATAACAATTGAAAGGGAGAAAATGTTTCATGCAAATCTGTAACCAAAAAGAAGGACTGTTAAATTCTTGCAAATTTAAATACACACAAAGTATTAGTGATGAAAAATGAACACGTATTTTTGTTAATTTTTGGTTTGTGATATGTTACCTAAAAATCAGTAATTAACTAAATTTACTAAAAAGAGTAATTTAACAAAAGTTTAAGACCAGGGAATTCTAGTATACAAGAGGTTGATAATATCCACAGTAAAATAGAGCACTCGCTCCAGTTGAAATAATTAGTCCCCTTGGTTTAATCAGAGCAATTCTGCTCTTAAAAAAAAAAAAAAAAATTTTGTCTACCAAATGAAGAAATTGGATTTTAAACATTTTTTAGCTACTGCAGGGTTTTTAATTTTGAGCTTGTTCCCTTTATCTAGATAAAGCATCTAGCATTCAGATCATGTATACTACAGAAAATTGTTATAATTGTTAAGATTGTAAAGTTAACAATCTACAATCTTAGTCATGACAGAGGAACTAATGTTTTCTGCCTTGAATCAGGGTGTTCAAATTTTAAATGATAAAGCCAATGTCCTTCTGTTCAAGTAAATGCCTGCTGTAAATATTGCATTTTACTAGAGTATTTTAAAATAATTTATTTTATTGTCAAAATATATATGTTTTATATGTTATGTTGTTAAATAGGCTTCTTACTGAAATGTTATATTTTTAATGAACTAAAAAGAGGTGCTGGTTAACTAATTATTCTTTAAGATATCTTTTTATTGTGCAATGTATTTTAGATGTTATGTTTTTAGAACTTATAATTAAAGTTTTACTTTGTTGTATTGATCTTGGTATTCGTTGTATTGATCGTTGTATTGATCTTTTCGTTGTATTGACACTTTAGATAATATATTACTTATTTTCTATGTTGAATTGAATTTTAGACAAAATGACGTGTTTATATTATTTGTTCACTAGTGTAAAATAAGATTTTTTTTCTAATAAAACAGATATGTACCCTACAGTGCTTTAATTGCCAAAATATACAATCATCTTGCCACAATATATATATATAAAATACTAGTTTGTATTATATTTTTTAACAGGAAAGGGAGATTGAACAAAACAACACTGTATTTTATAAAATAAGTGTGTATTACATTGTTCTCCAAATTAGGGTGTAGTAATTCAGACACCTGCAATTTAAATATTTTACTACAATTTCTTTAAAACTGTAGTAGCCTGTATAGAAAATTAATACAAATCTGTTTTATTTGCATTTTTTATGTTATTTGGTCTGCAGGTCCATTTAAAACTTTGAACTTGATTTTCTCGGTTCGGAAAAACATGGAAGAAGAAAAAAATAATTCTAACATCGCGTAATGGCAAATATGTGTATGTGTGGTATGTAATTAAAATGGTTTTTATTTTACTTCGAAATACAAGTGAAACATTAATCAAGCTTTGAATTGTGCAATTTTTGCATTTTTATTGTTATATATTTCCGCAAGATAACTCAAATTGAATTAACATAAAAACAAGAATCCAAATAGTCCAAGAAAAAGGTACAAGCGTGTAAGAGATGCAAAAAAAGAGCTTCAAAAGAATTCAGCGCATACCACATTTGATTAAATATTGTAGTTTCGCGGGCATACGCAAAAGGCTTAACTGGCTGGTCATTAGCGAACTAACGCTACTGTATTCGATTTAAGTTCACGTGTAAGTCGAGAAATATATGTAAACTTTTCAAGACAAAATAGCTTATACGTGACTAATATATGGTTATAAAGTTATAGCTTACACACACACATATTAACATTGTAAAATTACAATTTAAAAACTAATTTAATTTTTTTTAAATGCCAAGTAAAAATATGCTACTTAGGGGAATGTCAAATCGCCCCGGACGGCGGGTAACTTCGGACACTTTATGTACAGCGTTAACTTAAGAAGCAAGGTGATTTTAAATACTATAAAAACATTATTTGAGTGAAAACATGGCATATGCAAAATATCTATCTTAATATGCCAAAGCGATTGGCTAGGAGTGCAAGATATTGTTTTCCACCAACAGAAAAACGGCGTATCATCATATTTTATTAACATATTAATATACCTAATTTTTATGTAAACTAATAACTTTTTATCGATTAAAGATTTATTTTTATTTACAATAGTTATTAAAAAAAAAAAAAGTTTAGTATTGGATTCACTGGTTTTAAAACAAGTATTTGTGAATGAGGTATAATTAAGTGGTATCGGACAATTGTTTGGAGGACGGTTCCGTCTTAATCCGTTTACATATTAAAAATGAGCAATTTTTTAAATATAAATATTAATACATTTAGTAATTATATATTGTGTCGCCCTAGTAAAAAAGAGGTAAAATTATGGTAAAACTATGTGATAGGGGTATACCCTCCAATTTAAAAACATACCATTTTTCTAACATTTTTTCTTATATGTTTTGTATATAAAAATATGTTTATACTTTAAAAAAAGTCTTATAAAAAGTCTTGTTTTCTGTTTGTACATGTGTACAATCTATTTTCTCCTTAAATGTCCGGGGCTACCCGACTTTCCCCTATGTAGATTTAAAAAAGTTATTTTTAATCCTACTTTAAATCATTTTTTCAAGCAAACGAACCTATCAGCGGTCAAATAAATTAAAATAGCTGCAGTACCGACTTTTTAACTAAATAAAACCTTCACGGATATTCAATTCGGATTAAATAAAAGTAACACAACTTCGAAGGATTTCTATAAATAATCTAAGTTAAGAAGTTTAAAAAGAATATCTTAGATCCACAGACCCCAATGCAATGCCCATTCATCACCATCAGAGTCCTCATTCGATGACGTTAGCAGTTCATCTTCATCAAAACTGCTTTCTGGATCGTACGCGCAACAATCGCAAAGCCCATCTAACTTTTTATTAAAATAATAATTTGAAATGCGCAATACAGCGTACTTGAAATGTTTCACTCGATGTGATGGGTGAATGAACTCTTTAATTTCTGTCCAAACATCACAATTTCGTTTAGCTACAGCCGAATATCTATAAACACTATCGTCGTTCCACGCGGAAACACCCATAGTTAAAATTTCGTTGTCCATTGCTAAGGCCACATTAATTGGACCAGGTACACCTACACTTACTAATGTCCATTTATTACTTTTTTCCTCATAAAACTCAAAATTTGGCAAGTCAAAAAATCCGTTACTACCTCCAAATACATATAGTTTATCGTTGTAAAACACAGACGAGCATGATATTCTTTTTTGGCACATGTTAGGAAGTAGCTCCCAAGAGTGCTTACGTATACAGTATTTCTCAACAGTTTCCGAAGCGTCTATACCGTCAACATTTTGATTCCCTCCTATTACGTACATATATTTATGAGAAGAGGTTGCGCACGAATTAACTCGACCGTGTAGAGTGTCAGCGACAGTAGACCAAACATTCTTAGCCACGTCGTAGCATTCGACTTTTTTTGAAAGATTTTCGACAAAATTTTGAAGGTTCCTACCACCTATAACATAAAGATTATCTTGGAAAAATGTTGCGCAGTGTTGGTCACGAGCATTTACCATTGGCATAAGTTTATTCCATTTTATTTCTGTAACATCATAAGAGTAAACATCGCGGGAAAAAACAGTTGTTAAGCCATTAGAACCACCTGTCACGTAAAGAACATTGTTGTTAACATTTAAATAGCCTGGCAAGCGGTATTCTGGAAAACGCTCAAGCCTACAAAATTTATGATTAAGAATATTATAACAGAACGTTTCTCCTCTTTTATTGACACAAAATATGACGGTTTCTACTCTCTGCGAAGCTCGACAAGTTAACGAACAACGACGAAAGTGTCGAGCTTGATGTCGTTGTTCGAAAGACAATATTGAAGCGTAGCCGGCGTCTGGATACATCACGTCTAATTCTAGTTGTTTAAAAAGTAATCATTATTACACATTAATGAATAAGGGTTCGAACAAAGGTTGAATTTATAAGTATTATATAAAAAAGTGAAGATTTTAATACTCACCTTCCATAAACTTCATTAGCTTAATTCGACCATTTTCTGATAAAAAAGGAAATCGAATCGTTTTGAACAATATCCGTATTTGGGACTCCTCAAGTTCGTGAATTCGCTCTCTCAGCCATTTTTCAACAATAAGGGCAACGCTATCTTCTGATTGACACACAATATCGTCAGAAAGGAGTAGAGACTTTAATTCTTGGAGACTGGTTTTTAATATTTCTCTTTCTTTAATTATAAGTTCAAAATTTTTTTTTGTGAATTCTTTACACTTTGAAATAAGCTGCTTGTTTGAATACGCCTCTGCAATACCTTTTATGCGAAGACAATTAGTTGCATTCATTTGTCTATTTAAATGACGAAAACATTCTGATATAACGTCATTTAGTAAAAATAAACTGGCCGCATGAAGTAAATCAACTATCGAATGCATATCCATTTTTAAAGTTCCCTCATAAAAATAATCAAGCAGTTCTTCAAACACCTCACTTGTTACAGTATTTATGCATATTTCACTTTTAGTTCCTTCAATCAACGAGCTTGCAAACATCACCTTAAAGTACTCGGAACATGACGCAAGAACGTTTTTATGAACAAAAAATTTCTTTCCGTCCACATTTAATGTTACATCACACAAGGTGCCGTCTTTACGAAATTGAGCCATAGAAGACATGACGTTTTTCGAGTAAGAAGGCTCACGTAAACAAACTCGATCCCCACCAGCAACTTCTACAAACATTATTTTTACAAACTAAATAAAAAAACTTTAACATAATTTATGTTTATATACATATGTTATATATATATATATATATATATATATATATATATATATATATATATATATATATATATATATATATATATATATATATATAATATATATATATATTATGTTTATATATATATAATATATATATAAATTATGTTTATATATATATATATATTATGTTTATATATATATATATATATATATATATATATATATATATATATATATATATATATATATATATATATAATATATATATATTATGTTTATATATATATAATATATATATATAAATTATGTTTATATATATATATTATGTTTATATATATATATATATATATATATATATATATATATATATATATATATATATATATATATATATATATATATATATATATATATATATATATATATATATATATATATATATATATATATATATATATATATATATGATCTAAACAATAATTTCAAAAAATCAAAGACAAACTAAAAAAAAACAAAGAAATAAAAATTAGAGAGTTTTAATACTAGTAATTTACTAAATATAATTATGTAAAATTTGGAAAGTATTTATTTAAAAATAAACAATAACTCCCGCAAAATAAACTGCAAACGATAAGATACTGGTGATGCAATTGGATGCACAAGCTATTTGTTGATACATCAAAAAAACAATATTTGTGTTCACTTTTATTAATAAAAATAATTTATACAATTGTTTATACATTAACTATGTAATACGATAACTAACAAAAAAAGGTATTCATATAATTTACGTCTACTCGATTTTCAGAAAATCGTTACAAATTTAAAGGTTTTCTATGACAAAGATTCTCTGATCAAAGAGCTTAGATTCTCTGATCAGTTTATTTGTATGTTGAGAAATACTGATCGCATGACACAACACGATAATTTAAAGAAATAAGCAATAATTTTAAATATTTAGATTGAAAAACCTATGAGATTTTTTACATAACCTATTATTCATTTTAATTATCAAATTAACAAATATTCGAACTAAAAAAATTGTAAGAAACTTTTGTAAAATTATATCCCTTTAATTCATAGAGTTTGTGCAAAAACAAATAAAACAGTGAGATACAAATTAAGCAGTAAACAATAAGTTCATTTTAAATAATATATAAAATTGTAAAAATAAATTATAATGTCATTATATTAAACTGCTCGTTGCACTCCTTTTGCAAGTGTAAACTTGTTCTGAAGAAGGGAGGAGTCTGGACCTGTAATAACGGTAAAATAATATTAGATAACAGAATTAACTAAATAAATATTTTACGTCAGTTTTCTTTATACCTTTAGCAATCATTCCTGAACCAACCGGTTCAACAAGTGATCCTTTAGCCAATGATTTTACTTTTCCATTATCTAAACGCTGTAACGGTCCAGCTACTAAACTTATATCTCCTCCTTTAGTTTGAATACGATTTTCGCTTAATAAAAGAAAAAGCATGATTAATATAATCAGCTCATATTTTGTAATTTTTTAATTGATTGTAACAGTTATTTATTAACTTTATATAACTTAGAGTGCAATTCTGTGCCTTTCCAAATATAAAAAAAAAAATGATCCGAAAAAAAAGAAAGATGTTAAGTAAATTAAAATAAATAAATTTACCTAAGTAAAGTAGGATCAGATCCAACGGCAGTTATTTTCTTTTGCAACTGGTATGTTGCATCATCCTTTGACGTTACAGCGCTTTTTAAAAAACTTAGATTAGACATTTATAATTTGAATGAATAAAAGTTAAATAATCATTGTACTGCAATATATTGAATTTTATTTTTTATACTTTTCAACTTTAAAATAATTTAAAAGTTAGATATATTGCTTTTAAATACTTTAAAAATTGTAGCAGTCGTTGCCTGTTTTGACTTTTTATTATTTCATTCAGTGTATAATTAAAAAAAAGAAATAGTGACTCATTGAATCACTGATTTTCTTTTTTCTAAAAACTTGAATTAAATTTTTTTTTCCTATTTTTGGTTACGTTTAAAGTTACCTAAAAAACAATTGCAGAATTTTGCAAAGAATTACATACACATCTTAAAGTACATACAAAATCTAACTTTACTCATATTTCCAAAAAACAAATATTTTGAATTGCTAAAACGCTTAACACGATTGCAATTTTAAAGTTTATCAACTTTACGTCATACACATGTGATAAAACTGCAAGTAATTTAACGTATATAATATACAGAATTTATAGTCGTAAATTAATAGTTAATAAAAGTAATTAATTTAAATTGTGAAAACTCATGACAGAAAAATTGTTAAAACTGTTTAAATTATAGGTAAATTTTTTATAGCCATAATTTTTTATAACAAGTCATAATTATTTTTTTAATTTTTACACCGCTGCTAAAACATTTGCGAATTCCTTTAATGAAATTACAGCGTAATTAGCGTGTTTTAATTAGTTTTGTCGAGAAATCAAATAACTCGCTAATTGAAATTATCGGAATAATTAGACTAGTTTTATTATTAAAATAGTAATAATTATTAAAAGACTGATTTTATAAAAATATCAAGTTTTCTGTAGGTTAAACAAATTTTGTAAAGCTTTATAAGAAACTTTTAAAAACATGTATTAAGATGCAGTGTCGACCTATTGTCCGTACACTGTTTTATTTATTTATATAGACGAGTTGATATTCAATAAATTATAGACAGACTAAGAAAATAAATTTAAGGAACCTGAGACTGAATAAATCGAAACATAAAGTTGGAGGCGCCTAAAGACTACTATAATTAACAGGGTCGAATATCTTGATTTTTCGGAGCAAAAAATTAGAAGCAGCTTTTTAACATGAAAACCATTTTATTTGTTTAACCTCAATCTTTTCTTTAGGTTTTATAACAAAAATTAACTTTTTTTAAACAAACAAACAAAAAAAAAATCTAAAAACTAAATTGCAGTTAAGGAAACAATTCTACTAAGAGTCTGTGTATATGCGGTGTATATTGAAAAATAAGCAATAATCGTAAAGGACACGATAAAAATCTTGAATGATCAACCGATTTATTATATTTTATTTAAATGATTTCAGTCATTTTATAAGACAAAATTTCTTTTATAAAGTTTTGAAAATTTTCTTACACATATTTTTTCCAAATTTATATATATTAAAAAAAAAGCTTTTTAATAATTAAAACCATTTTTATTTTTCAACGTATGTTTTGACTACCATCTTTTGACTGTCACCTTCGATTGAAACTAAATATTTAAAATTTGTTACCTATAAAGGTGATAAAAAACCATGTGTGTACAAAATATTAATAATATAATTACAAAAAAAAAAAATCTATGACTGGTGGTAATCAAAACATACTTTAAAAAATATTTTTTTATTAAAACATATTAATATAATGGTTTTGATAATTAAAAAGATTGTCTTATTTATTGAAGTATTTTTATAAATTGTGCTTAAAAGAAATTTTCGAACTTTGTAAAAAAATTAAAATGCGAAAAAAAAAGCATACATATGTAGTCAATATTTTCTATACAACTTTCTTCTGTTATAACAAACTGTTTACAAGTTATTTCCATGTAAAGCTTCAATAAGTTTTAAGTGTGCAAATGTAATATGAAGTACTGAACAACAAATTAAAAATAAAAGATAAAATTTTGTATGTTATTTTTTAAGTAAAGGTAAAAAGAGGATATTAAATTACTTTGAAGTTTAGTTATTACAGAAATATTCAAAAATCATTAAATACCATATTTAAAAGCATTTTTTTAAATGTCATATGCAATGTATAACACACTTTGATGTTTTTATTTCTATATTCACAGTGACAAATTCAAGTTAAAAACGTCAACAGAAATAGATCCTTTAACAGAATTTGAAGTTCCTTTAAGAACTATATGTTTCCTACTACATTTCTTTACATACTATTTCTTTTTAAATATCTATTTTTTATATATAGAAGAAAATCAATTAAAAATAACAACCTGTTATTAAAGTAGTTTGCATTACCAGAATACACCAACTTATTTAACAAATTAGAATTAGTGGCAGATGAAACTGTAGAATATGAAGAACCTTTATGAAAGAAAAAAGTATTTGTAAGTTTATATATATATGTATAAAATATATGTACTAAAGTGTATATAGATCAGTGAATGCCTACTAGTTTTGTTTATTTTTATAACATTTAGCTTTTTCAGAAAGAGAAAAAAATTAAGAATAATGAAACAAAAGATTGCTGCCTCTTGTCAAACCCACAGTCGGTGTTTTGTTTTTTTAATCCGTTATTATAATTTTTACAAAATATAGCAGGTGTTACTCATATAGTGTAATGTATAGCAGGGGTTATTCATATAGTCAAAAACTAGTCAATAGTGTCACTTAAGTGAATAGAGTGACACCTATAAGATAGTTGATATACATCAACTGTCTTACTGAAGCCTCAGGCAGCAGCTATTTCAGTATGATGTCACACTGCTTATTTAAACAAACATTTACATTTGTATATGTATATATACAAATATATATATATATATATATATATATATATATATATATATATATATATATATATATATATATTTGTATATATACATATACAGTCTTCCATGTTGTTTGAAAGAGCGCGGTAATAAGCCTGACCAGAAAATGTTAAAAAACTTCAAAAATTTTTTTTTTTTTTTTAAATGGTAGACTGCCTGCCCAAACCAGCACTCCCTTGCGAGTCAAGCTATTTGTCAGTCGATGTAGCAGCACTCCCTTGCGAGTCAGGCTATTTATCAGTTGATATAGCAGCACTCCATTGCAAGTCAGGCTATAAGATAGTCGATGTAGCAACACTTACGCATGTTTTAAAATGTTTTTTAAGTAAAACAAAAAAAAAACACCACTAATTAAAAAAAACTTTCTAGTCATTACTATTGCGGTTTTTTTAAAAAACAATAAAATTTAATGTACTTCCGCATTAATTTAATTGCTTTGACATTTTGACGACAATAAAATGCAGCTTAAGAGACAAGGTAAAAAAATTGTAGTCTCTTTATAGTGTAGTCGAAAGAGACCATAAAAGTCTTTTTCGACTACACTATAAGGATATATATATATATATATATATATATATATATATATATATATATATATATATATATATATATATATATATATATATATATATATATATATATATATATATATATATATAGGGCTCAATTAAATTTTATAAAAAGTTCTGGACAAAATGTTCAATCAAAACTTATTTGGGTCAGACAGTGTCCAATCAAATTTTCAAAATATGATTTTTTCGGTTTTACGGTAAATATCCAAGGGGCGCCAAATGAAATGTAGGTACCTAAATAAAAATAAAAGTTCCTTCAAAGTACCTACTAAAAAATAGTATATTTTTTTCTTTTTAAAAATAAAAATAAAAGTTCCTTATAATTTCCTACTTGAAAATATTATATTTTTTTCTTTTCAATAATTAAATTTAACTTTAAAATAACTTACATTAAATTTGTTTAATTATATATCAATAATCATCAATCAATAAAAGTAACAGCGTTTTTTGTAAAAGCGTTTTGTGTAACTTAAATAAACCATTAAAAGATAAGTTTTTAAAGTAATTTTTTTCAAATGCCATTAAAAACATAACAAAAAGTTTTTTTAACTTCGAGTTTTTAGTTTTATTTTAAAGCTAATTTATTTTCTTTTTTGTAAGGAATTGTATTGCTTATTCTTGAGTTTTTTTCCTAGTTTTAGTTTAGCTTAACGTTTCTTTTTTCAGCGGATTTCTGAAACATTTAAATCATCAAAACAGCCTGATAGTCGTGGTCAAGTTGTAAACAAAAAAATCATTTGCGTGGTCAAGAATAGCGGTTCGATCATGGGCTGTCCCTGTCCACGCTTTATTTTGTAGAATTTAATTCCTGTCGGTCAAAATGTTTGATTATTTTGTAAATTGATCGGACAATCTGAGGTTTTAGCCGGACAATGTCCGATCTCACACCGTTAAATTGAGTCCTATATATATATATATATATATATATATATATATATATATATATATATATATATATATATATATATATATATATATATATATATATATATATATATATATATATATATATATATATATATATATCAATGATATATTATATAACTATTTTCTAACTTCATTACGAAAAATGAAACTGCTTTTTGCCCTTTTTACAAATGGCGCATTAAATTTGTAAACAAATATTTAAATACTAAATTTTTTTTTTGAATTATCTTTAATTTATTGGTAACTTTAGACATGGATTTTTATTTTTTATTCCACACTCCAGCTTTAGATTTGCCCTTTTTACAAATGGCAGCTTCACTTTTTATCTAATATAATCCAGCAAGTTATATAGTATCTAGTTATATAATATATCATTGATATATATATATATATATATATATATATATATATATATATATATATATATATATATATATATATATATATATATATATATATATATATATATATATATATATATATATATATAAGGGTAGATTGACTTTTTTTTTTGAATTTTGAATTATGAAAAGTTGCAGATACGGTGACTAGGATAAAAAGTAGTTAGTATAAATTTATAAAAAAATCTGTGTTAAAATTGGACTGCGGATTTACATTTAAAGTTTTAGTTTAGGATTAATATTTTTAGGCTGCAAAATTACTTATAGATATATTAAAAAATAGAAATATTTTATAAAATTACTTTTAATTCCAAATCTAGAAATATTTTAATCTAATTATATTCTAAACTTAAAAGTCAAAAATTTATTAACAAAAATTAAAGGTTACTGCTATTACACAAAAAAAATTTCGAAAAAAAAAATTTGTGATGACTTATGTGAGTTATTACTAACAAATCCATGCACTTTCAGACAGGTTTTACCAGTTTTAGATTTTCAGACAGGTTTCCTATTGCCTAAATTAAGAATGAAGAATTTTAGGTTATTCATTAATATTACTATTTTATCCATATGAATTAAAATGCAGATATTGTTTTTGTAAATCAGCAAATTAGCAACACTGTAAAATCTATTTAGGTTACAGTAAACTAAAGTTTACCATTTATAACTGATAAACCTATTAATAGGAAAGTTGAATATCTTTTTTGTAATAAGTTTCTCATATTAAGGATGCTAGTCTCAAATTAAGGAACTAAATCACAAGCACATCAAAAGCAAATACCACTCTTGATGCTAACTAGACTAAACTTTGCAATACGTTTCATGTTTATGATTTATTTTCTTGCTGTCACAGAAAAGTATCTTATAGTGAAGAAAATTGCATCAAGGAACATATTGTATATCATTGCCCTCAAAATATTAAAACAGCTCTTGAAGACAGAGCTTATCTCAGGAAAAAGTCCACAGAGGATCAGCTTTGTTGATAAATTAGCTGTCAAAAGAAATAAAAGAATTGAAAATGAACAATAACAAATATTTCTTAGGGTAGTTGATAACAGCAGTGGACCTCATTAATGTAAACTCATCTGAAGAAAAAATCAGTTCATCTAAAGGTAATTTTTTTTTAATTGCATCAAACATTTGTTGTAAAACAAATAAAAAAATATTTTTTAAACACTTTTTTAGATGATGAAGCAACCAATAAATAATCCTTTATATAAAACTTAAATTCATGCAATTCAGTAATTTCTTAAAGATTAAAGGACAAAATATTAAATAACCCTGGGTTTAGAAGATATGTAACAACTCAATAAAGAAAAAAGAAGATCTGTAATATCATTTACTGAACAACTATGATCAATGTGTTTTCATAGTCAGAAACAGGTGAAACACCTGTAAGCTAAATTTTCAAACTTAATGCAAACATTTTTAAAAAAGAGATATGGGTACGATATTTTTAAAAGAGGTCTTTTTTTAAAAGAGGTTGCTATGGGGTTTTCACTATTATCTTACATATGATGCATTTGTTGTCAGAGATATTTATTCTGATAGTTATTCTAGAAAGTTATTCAGATAGTTATTCTGGTGAAATATATACCATGATTTCCAAAATTTTAATTGTTCACAGCTTACAGATTTCACACACTTTATGCCGAAAATAAAATAAACTAAAAAGAAAGATGTGAGTTAAAATGTGGATGAATATTGAATAGATAAAAGATGAGGTGTCAAAGAACATTTTCTACAAATGCATTCAAATACAAAATAGATTTTACAAGCAGGTAAAAAAAACCTTTTTATTCAATTACAGCTTGTTAGTAAATAATGTGTTCACTGTTAACATTTTCATAAACAGTTTCAGATTGGTAAATCTTCTGCTACTGAAAGTTCTGGACTATTGAAATATCTGGAAAGTTCTGAATTACATCAAAAAATTTTATGGAGAAGGCAAAAAATGTTCAAAACTTGGTAAAGCTTTGACAAAAAGGTAAAACATAATTATGCGGAACTTAAGTGTTCTATTGGTAGAACCTTTTTCTGCAGTTTGTCGAATCTTTTTAGAAAAACTGTTTTCTCTTTAAGTTTTGTCTATAAACTGAACTTTTTCAATTTAGTCTTTCCACAAGGCTCTTATAATAAATTATTAAAACAATTAAAATAATTTAATCTTCTTTTAAAAGACATTAAAACTAACATATGTTCTGGTTTTGAAGTATAGAGAATCTCATAACTCTGGAGCTAAACATTAAAAAAGGGGATTATAGAAAAATAACTTTAATGAAGAGTTAATAAAATATAAAAAAATTAACTTTAATGGAGCATTTTTCATTTAAAGAAGAAAAATAACTGTTTTATTATCCATGAATTTTTACTCAGATAATATATTTTTTTACTCAAATAATTTTTGCCTAGTGAATTGATTTACTTTTTTGAAAAGTAATCCACTTCTAAAATGATATACCTGTCATATAAAAAAATAAATGATTTTAATTGAAAAATGAAAGTCTAGTTTGTTTTTAATTGAAAAATGAAAGTCTAGTTTGTTTTTTTGTTTGTTTGTGAGTGTATTAAGATATGCTAAAAAACTTTTTTTTTTAAACAAAGAGATTTAAAAAAAAAGACAAAAGTAAGAAAACTATAACTAACTACCTTTATTATTCAAAGAACCAAATGTCTGAACTCTAAAATAAAAAAAAACTAATATAGAAACAATAATAGAAACATAACTTTCATGGAAACTTAAATGTTTTTGATCATTCATTGGTTGGTTCTTTTATGTTTCACATATATTATAGAGATTATATAAAATAATATAAAATATAAAATTGTAATAATAAAAAAAAAATATAACTAATTTCAATATTCAAAACATTTTTTTTGTAAAAAATATTGTGAAGATAAAAAATAATAGTAATACGTGTTCCCCACAGTTAATGACATATTCTTGTTTTCCATTTTTTTAAGATTCTCACTGGCTTGTCTTTCTACTTCTTTATTTCTTATTTCTTCTTCTTTTTTTCTTGCTTCTTCTTCTTTAACTCTTGCTTCTGTTTCAACATCTTTTTGTAGTTTTTCTTGTTCTTTTTTTCTTATTTCTTTTTCTTTTTTTTCTTCCTCTTTTTTTTTAACTTCTTCTTTTTCTTTTCTTCTTTTTTCAGCTTCAAGTTTTGCTTTCTTCTCTTCTTCTTCAAATCTACTCGCAGAAGAACTAGTCTTTTGTTCGCCTTTTTTTGCTACATGAAAAACACAATACATGAATTACCTTTTACTTGATTTATTTTGTTAATTTCTTTGGTTTTATATAACCTTATAAACATAAAAACTGTGGCTATAACAAATGTGGTTTAACTTACAAACTAAATCACTTTTCTTGGAATTTAGCTTAAATCATTTTTCTTGGAATTTAGCTTAAATCATAAAACTTGTGCAATATTCTACAGCAATATTCTTAAAACTTGTACAATATTAAAATTTATTTATTATAAATAAATTTTAATATTTATTATTTAAAAAAGAAAAAATTTAGCACAACATCTCTGCTAACATAAAGTATCATTTTACTTAGAACTTTGCATAATCTGGCAAAAAACTGTCGCAAAATAAATTATCTAAGTGCTAAAGTAAGTATATTTTACTCTTCAAATTTTACTCTCTTAGCAAAAACTCAAAATTATAAACAGTAAATATTAAATGCTCATAGACAATATATTATACTTTAATTTTAAATTTTTTTCAAAAACTCTTCCTTTAGCATTTTATGTGATATTTTTATCTGAAGAGTCAACAAAGATTTTGGTGTTTTCATGTTAACTAACTAAATATTAAGTCCAATGATTTTTTATTTAAAAAAATTTTAATTTTTTCATAAGACACTCTTTTAATAAGGTTTACGATAACTCAATTAAAATTTCACATTTTAAAACATTTTTTTATGTGTGAATTAAAAAGTTTTGCAGCTCTTTCATACACATTATTTATTATTATATATATGTACACATTATTTATTATTAAACCAACCCTCCTCCTCCAAAATATTATTAATCAAAACATTAAAAACTTTTATTTTAGTTAATTCAGAGACATATTAAATAACATATTGTTTTTTTAAACTTATGAAATTGTTTTGTTAAAAGAAGTTTAACCTGTTAACAGTCCATGCTGTAATATTACGCTAACTAAAAATGGTTTCTAAATGTCCATGTCGCAATAATACAAACTAAAAGTGGTTTCTAAATGTCCATGCCGTAATATTACGGTTTTGTGCATCTACTTATATTTCCTTCTTGTTCATCAGCAATTATACGTCTACTTGTCACAAAAGTTATTACTAGATAATTACAGAGCTTTTGTTTCAATAATTGTCTTTTAAATGTGTTCAATTTAATTTTAAATATGACAAAAAAGGAAGTTTTTTCAGTGCAAAAATAATTATAAAAAGTAAACATTTACTCACGAAAAGATAGAATTTTATACATTTGATGAATCAATAATGAAAAGATATATTTAATGAATAATTATTGAAAATGATAATAAAAGATTAATGCTCAAAGATGGTGTGCGGTATGTTACAAACAAAATATTCAAAAAGGTTCAGAATATGAATGTGTAGAATGTGATGTAGGACTTTTTGAAGCTCCTTGCTTTTTACAATTATTATACAAAAAGTGAATATTAGTGAATACATTTTAAAAATCTTATATTTATGTAGTATGATTTATATATTCTTAAACTTGAATAATAACATTTTGTAGTGTTTATAATGTTAAAAATAGTAAAAAACATTTTTTATTCTATAAGTAAAAAAACATGATGAATTTAAAAATACGGGACATTTAGAGACCACTTCAAAAAAAAAAAAAGCTGGACTAATCGCGACCGGTTTTAAAAAAAACATGGGACTGTTAAAGAATTAAGGAGAGATAAAGAACGAGAGGTATACATACTCGCAGTCTTTGACACTTTGCCCCCCCCCCCCCTGTATGCATTTTTATGCTTTGGGTAATACTTCTTCCTGCATACATGCTCTATGGGACTCCCAAATAGTTTTGAAACGTAAAACGTGTATAGATTATAATTGAGTTATTACAAATCTTATTAAAAGAGTACCTAATAAAATTTCCCTATTTTGAAGAAAAACAATTTATTAAGTACTATTTTGAAGAAATACTAATAATAATTTATTAAGTTTAATTACTCTGTTGAGCTTTAGCTCTAATATAATAGTCATAACATCTGGTCTAATTACAAACATGGCTGTTTATGTCACTTGTTTTACAGTATGTTCAGCACTTTCAGTAATTTAAACTGAAAGAGTTAATAAAGGTGTCAATCTTAGCAACAACAATTTATTTGTAGTGAACAAGTTCTTGTACTTCACTATTTTTTTACTTTACTCATGGAAAGTAGTTACTGCTATCATAGTTACTTAGTTACTGCTATTATAGTTACTTAGTTACTGCAATCATAGTTACTTACTTATTGCTATTATAGTTACTTAGTTACTGCAATCATAGTTACTTACTTATTGCTATTATAGTTACTTAGTTATTGCTATCATAGTTATTTAGTTATTGCTATTATAGTTACTTAGTAACAGTAAAACTTATTTTAACTCTTAGTTATAGACTTAGAGTAGGATATATGATATACCCTTAGTAAGGTATAAGTTTCTACTTTCTAAGGTAAAAAAAGTGTTTTTCTTGACCTGATTTGCATATCTTTCTATATGTCAGTACCCCTTAGTTTAAAATATTGTCAACTGCAAAGTTCCAATCTTTTGCACTATTACTGGATAACAAGGAGATACACTTTCATGGTTTGTGTACCATGGTCTTAACTGGATGTAGGAAGTCACAATTTCTTTTACCATATCAAGTAAAATTCTAGGAATTCTCAACTGAAAAAGAATGTGGTAGGAAATTTCTTTAAGTTTATCAAAAAAAGTTTAAAGTAAAATTGAAAACAGTACAATACCTTTTATGAAAATTGTCTAAAGGGAAAAGGGATTTATTTGAAGAACCAGCCCAAATATGATAAAAGTATTGCGTACAAGACAAAACAAGAGATTTATAGAGGTAGAGAATAGAATCAGGAGTAAGAGTATGAAAAGCACAATAAGGAGAGGCAACCTTAGCTGATGATGACTTTGCAATGAATGATATACATGGTTTTCATGTGAGGTCAGTAGCAAATGATAATTGAGGAAGAGTTCACATCTGTATCCCAAATCTTCTAAAAGACAAACTTCAAATGGAAAATGTATTAAGAAGATCTCCTGAAGGAATTAGAGGTTTAAACGATCTCCTGTAAGAACTATTGGCGCTAAATACAACTTGTATAAAATACTGACTAACTCATGGAGATCTAATTAATGTCTGCTAATAGTGCAATAATAATCATGATAAAAATTTATTTGAAACCAGTTCATTACCTATGGTCACATATTCGAACTAAAACAACATTCTTCCTGCTTAAATATGCATACAAACTTTTTTCTATAAGAATATTTAATAAACGTAACTCTCTTTCTAATGACATCATAAAAGACCTTCCTTAAAAAAAATTTAATAAGCTTCTTGACAACCATCTTAAAAACAAATGGCTTTTCTATGACTGATATGCATTTCATTTTATATTAGTTTATATAAGTCAAACTTTTATATAACCAGGTTGATAGGCATTATATGCCTATACAATAATTTTTGTAAACCTTTAAATTAAAAAAACAAAAAAAAAACATAGAGACTTTATATAAGATGGCTAAATGCATAGATTATAATTACAATGATGATGCAATGTTGCGCATTGAATGCATTATATAGTTAATTCATAAACCTTCTATATACTTATATAAAGTTTAAATGATATATTCTTTGAAAAGTTGCCTAAAGCTATGTTCTAATAAAGTAATGATTTCTCTAACCAATTAATCATTAACCCTTTTGTAACAAGATGCAAATTAAAAGCAAAAGTTTGTCAACACAACGCCAATGAAGCCTTAAATTCTTCAGACTTTGCTTTGATTATTTTATTATATCATATTGAAGCACACTTTATTTATAATTCTCATTAATACTACATACAAATTCTTAATACTGCATTTTAAATACCATTTTAATACTGCACACAAATTTTTAAAACCACTTTATTACTGCACATATATTTTTAATACTACTTTAATACTGCACACAAATTGTCAAGTCTTTAATACTTAACACACAATTATACTTCTCTTTAATAACAGTGTTTTAAGGCTTTACCTTTAAGCAATGAAATAATTAAATGAACAATAACTTCAAAAAAAAAAAAAAAAAAAAAAAAAACAACAACAAATATTTAAAAAATATATATAAAGAAAATAAAATCTTACTGAAACCCATTCCTTCAAAAATGCTAATTGTTAATGCCAAGTCATAATTGCCCTAAAAAAGTTATTTAAACACTGTAGCTAAATAATTATTTAAATACTTTAAAAAAGATTTTAGTATCAATTTATTTAAATTAAAGGATTATATTTCTTGTTTTAATAGATAAATTTCTTAAACTGAGTACAATGGACCTACAATTTTGCTGTGTAGATAGAAAGTTTAAAAAATGTTTAAAGAAAGTTTGCAGAAATATTCTGACAACATTTAAAACAACCGATGGCATCTAATGTCTTACAGGACCCAAAAAAATAAAAAGCCGTGCAAAAGCTTATATTTTGTCAAAGCCAATCCAAGGTTATGTTATCACGAACTTACTAAAACATTTAATCAAAACTGTGAAAAAGACCTTTCTTTAACTTTTGTTTATTGTCTAGTTATTAGAAAACCTATGCTGACAGCCAGAGATCGGCTTACAAGATAGAAATGGAAAAATGAAAGCAAATAATTTTCAGTGATAAAAATTAACTTGAAGTAATAAATAGAAAAAGCTAAACTCTTGTTAAAAGATTTTATCTGAAAAGTATAATAATTTCTTTGTTGTACCAATGTTGCAAGGTGGTAGTGGGAGTTTTGATATGTGGGGTAGACTTAATGCCTTTGACCAGCTTGATCACGCTAAATGCATTTTTAAATGCATTCAAATCTATTTAGGCTTGGATTGACAAAGAATTCAAATAAGATTTATAAATAGCATAAAGCAAGAAATAGATACCATTTAAAAAGTTCCATCAATATTTGCAATTATCTTGTTAATCTAGACAGAAAAGATGTGTAGCTTATAAAAAAGCATGTTGAGGGTATTTTATACTAACTTGAATGTTTCTTTTTGTTGCTTTAATTTTAATATATTGCAGTATTTTGAAATTACTTGACTTTTTAGGCATTTTTAAATATATTAACCAGGACTGTGGAGTCGGAGTCGCTAAAAAATATCGCGACTCCAACTCCAATAGTTCTTGGTATTGCACGTGCATGTACAAAACATTCAATTAACCTTATGTTCATACTAAACCTCAAAGAATGTTTCATAAATTTGACTAAAAATTCAACTTATCGTGCAATATTTTTTAAAGAATTTAAAGAATTTTTCAAAAATTTTGCTTTGGCGTTGGAGTCGGAGTTGTACTCAAAAAATTTCAACATCTGGAGTGGGAGTTGTTACTTTTTTTTAACGACTCCACACCCCTGATATTAACTGTATATTTATTAATATTATTTTTATTATTAGTATTATATATATATATTATAAATTTATTTTTTAAAAGAAAATTTTGTTAGATTGTTGTGACCAGCGTCTTCAGCTTAAGAGCTATTTTATGTCAATGGGATGGTTTCATCTTTTTCTGACATAAGTGCGCCAAAAATAGTGTCCAAAATTTTGCTGACACATATTGTCCCTCATCTAAATTGATACTATTTTGTTGAGGGGCACATTGGTGGTACTGTATTTCAAGTGCCTCACAAACTTTTCTATTGAACTTTTTAGCATCAACTTTTAGAGTTCTGCAACTGTCCCAGTAAATTTGTTGTGTATAATGTTTCTAATGTCTATTGTACTGTTTTTGTGTTATTGCATCCGTGTTTTTATTTGCACTTTTGTTTCACCTATATACTTTTTGCTACAATGACATTTAATACTTTTAAGACTCCTGGGTGGCAGTTCATTTGTAGTTTGGATTTATTTCTTGATGTTAATATTGCCTTCAGGTTCAAGATTGGACTGTTTGTAGTCATTTTCAACAAATACTTGAATAAGAAATTTCAGTTCAGTTTCTATACGTTATACTGCCTACATTATATGGTTTATGTACCCTTGAATACTCCTTTTAAAATTTGTGGGTCGTTGTTTGATGTTGCCTTAACTTGAATGCTAGTAATTGCATTTTTTCTGTATATTTTAAACTTGTATTTACAATTTTTTTGATTTATTATGCATATGTCTAGAAAATTTAGTGTTTTTTTATTTATTTTTTGTCATTTTCAAATTCAATAGTATATTGTATTTTTGGATGCCGTTGATTATGTATTGTCTTAAATTGATCAGCCTGGGTAATGTAAGGGACTCTAGCATGACTGTCATCTACGTATATTATTTATTACATACATTAAATCAATAACTAGGTTGGTTTTTGCGATGTATTAAGTGCTCATTTTTTGAGATGTCGAAGAAAAGATTCAGCTAAAACTACTATAAACGAAAGACCTATCAGACTTGAATTTTCAAGTTCACATATTCCAATGATACCTGAATTTTGTCACTAGATATTTCCAACAATTTTTCTTTTTCTAATAATTGTTGCAAATTTTTTTAATCAAGTTGGGTTTTCATTTAAGATTGGTTGTATTAGCTTTACTAAGTAATTTGAGATTCTGTAGTTTGGTGTGCCTATTGTAGATACTACAACTCGCATTGGTTAAGATTGTTCAGGCTTATGTGTCTTCACTAGACCATACATACGAAGTGGTAACGGGTCACTGAGATAAATTTGCTGATACTTATCTATTATGAACCAACCTTTTTTATTTAATTTTTATAGTTGGACTTTGATTATCATTGCATAACTTTGTGTCGGATCCTTATTGCTAATTATAGTTGGTCCAATTTGTTCTCAAATCTTTTTTATTGCTTTTTCATGAGGGATTGTTACAAAGGCCATTCCTTTATCAAATGGGTATATATCAATATTATTATTGTTTTTTAATTGTGTGAGTGCTTTCCGTCATTCACAAGTCAGGTTGTCTTTTTTATAATTTTTGTTTAGTTTTAATTCTCTCAAAACTTCTCTCCCAGTGTTTGCACAGCTTTATCTTTTTTTGTTGAATTTTAGTTTTAGAGCAGATGACTTAGTTATTGAGATGATGTCAATATACGGAAGAGATTAGATTGTTGGTACAAACTTAAATGATGGTCAAAGGTTAAGGAGACTTTTTTGATGCTCTGGAAACTCTGTGTCACATAAATTTAAAACGACTTCTTTAGTATAGATTGTCGAATGGGATGTTCACTTAACGCGTTAGTCTTGAAAAAGTTTGAATTTTTGAAAAATTTTGAATTAATCTCTTAATTTTACAAAATTGATTTTTCTCATCATTTTTCAGTGATTCTTTTTACAGTTTCATAATCATTTGTAAGTATTTTCATGAGTTCATTTTCAATTAATTTAACTTTATTAATTTGTTTAAAGAATCATGTTCTGAAATCATTTTTCAGAGAAATAAGAAGTTCAAACCAGTTCAAACCTGTTCAAACCAGTTCAAAACATTGATGAAAAACATTTCTTTTATTGTTATTAATAGAACAGTTAATTTGTAACGACTTTGGATGAAGAGGCAATACTAACATCAAGAAATAAATACAAACTACAAAAAAACAGCCACCCAAGAGTCTACATTGTTAAATGTCATTGTAGCAAAAAGTATAAAGGTGAAACAAAAATGCAAATAAAAACAGGCATGTAACAACACAAAAACAGCACACTATAGAAAACAGTAACATGCAACATGCAACAACACAAAAACAGTACAATAGAAAACAAAACGACCTGCATTAGCCACACACAAGAGACATTGTGCACAACAAATTTACTGGGACAGTGGCAGAACCTTAAAAGTTGATGTTAAAAAGCTCAATAGAAAAGTTCGTGAGGCATTTGAAGTACAGTACCACCAATATGCCCCTCAACAAAATGGTATCAATTTAGATGAGGGACAATATGTGCTAACAAAATTCTGGACAGTATTTTTAGTGCACTTACATCAGAAAAAGATCCACTTATATCAGAAAAAGATGAAACCATCCCATTGACATAAAATAGAACTGCCATTTTAAAAATAAAATATAAACAGAGACAAACAAATAAATTTTAAGCTGAAGACACTGGTCACAACAATCTAACAAAAATTTCTTTTAAAAAGTAAATTTAGTATTGAGAGAAATTCATATTTATTGATGTTTCTAAAATAGTAATAGTAATAATAATAATAATAATAATAATAATAATAATAATAATAATAATAATAATAATAATAATAATAATAGCAATAATAATAATAATAATAATAATAATAATAATAATAATAATAATAATAATAATAATAATATATATATATATAAATACCAATGGTGAACAGATCTATATTTAAAAAAAATCTTTAACACTATTTTTTGATTTGTTATTATATATAAATAAATATTATGTTTTAGGTATAATTTTAAAATAGAAGCATTTTTGACACGATTTTAAAATTTATATTTGATGTTAAAAATTAAAAGTTAATGTTAAAAATTGTTGCGAATACATAAATTATAAATTAGTGCGAAGACATAATTATGGCAATAGAATTTAAAACAACAGCATGAATGCTAATTTGCATAAATGCAATGCAGTTGCAAAACTGATAGAAGGCATAAGTGCCCCAAAGGAATTAGCAAACATTGACATAAGTGCTCAGAAAGAATTTTCTAACATATTTTGCACTTATGCTAGTTTTTGCAACTGCTATGCACTTATAAAACTTCACACATATGGCAGTGTTTGCAAATTCTTATGTCAGAGTTTGCCAATTCTTTTAACACACTTATGTTAACTATTTCTTATTTTTGTATTTATTCTAGTTTTTGCATCTGCTTTATGCTTTGCGCTTATACCAGTTTGCACTCATGCCAGTGTTTGCAAATTTATTTGGTGCACTTATGCTAGTACGCCTTATGCAGGATTATAGACGTGCAGACTCACATTTTTTCTAAATTTGCACTTAATCAGTTGCCTTTATGTCACAAAATTTTTTTTAACATTATTAATTAATTAATACATTTCTTAAATTGATTTAAACACATAAATTTTTCCAAAACTTTTAAAAAATTTTTTTAATGTTAATCTCGTTTTTAAAATACTTTATACGAAATCAATTTATTTTATTTTTATTTATACTACTTTTATTTATTTATACAAATTTATATATTTATTTAATAATATATTTTATATAAAAATATTTTATATACAAATATTTTTTTTATACAAATTTATATATTTATATAATATATTTTCTATATTATATTTAGTATATTTTCTCAGGAAATTATATAAAAAATATTACATCAATTTCACTCGAAAACAAAAGTTTTTATCTTGCTGAAAAACAGTTTTAGAAAGCAAATTAACCACAATATTAAACTTCAGTTATTAATTCAAATATAACTTTTAAATTTTTATTATGGCTTTAGAGGTGATAAAAACGAATACTTTTTATTGCAATGCAATGTAACAGCAATTAATTTAAGTTACATGACTTGAGTTTTTGCACCAACTATTTAATGTACTTTGATGTAATTATCAATTTACTAATTAATTAGTGAATTAATTATCTAGTTCTTATTAAATAAAATCCAAATGCCTTTTTTTAATTTGATGCAAGTTAATATATATATATATATACATATATATATATATATATATATATATATATATATATATATATATATATATATATATATATATATTTATATATAAATATATATATATATATAATATATATATATATATATATATATATATATATATTAAAATTAAATTTATAATATATATATATATATATATATATATATATATATATATATATATATATATATATATATATATATATATATATATATATATATATATATTATAGTTATATAATATATATATATATACACTTATATTATATATATATATACTACATTACCATAATCAGGCTTGGTCAGGAAGCGGGTGCGATTGCACTTGATAACTGACCACGGAAATAATATTTAGTTGCAAAAAACCGGCCAGATTTTTTAGTCGTTTTGAGAACATTCAAGTTCACGTATGTTTCTTTGTTTGTCCGCAAAATAATTATTAAGTTATCGTATATCTTAAAATATTTTGTATTACGGACTTACACATAAACATACATAAACTCAAATGTTCTCAAACTTTGTGCGGAAAAATAAAAAAAAGAATATTTGCGAACACAAAAAACCCGCCAAATCAACTAACAACTAATTCTATTGGTTCAAAAAATATTAGAGAATATTCAAAATATACTAACCGAATGTTCTAGAGTATTCTTTTGAATTATTTTAAACAGTTGTATTACTTGAGTTTTGTTATGTTTTTGTCGAGATTTCTAGCATAAATTGTTTTAACAATATACTATCAAACTAACTTTTATTTAAATACTATGTCATTCTCGAAGCCACATCTACAAAGCTATAAATGTTTTAAACTAACATTAATTGTTTGCAAAAATAAATGTTTTAAATTTATGTTTTTAAGTTCTTAGAAAGTAAAGTTTTTAAGTTCTTAGAAATTGGTTAACTAACTTCAATTATTTTTGCTTCAGCCATTCTTACAAACTTGTTATACTTAACTATTTTCTGTTTTAAATACTAATTAAAAATTATAAAGCCCAATCACTAAACATTATCAGCGGTAGTGTGAAGCTGTTCCGCTTCCTCCTCACTAAGTAATTTAACGTTTTTAGTTAATTTCTCTTTAGTTAATTGAATTTCTACAGTAACTCAATGATTTAATTATTTCATTTGTTCATCTTACTAAAAAGAATAGTTTCAAATGTGTTAAATTTTTCAATTTAGGCGAAGCATAAAACAGTTATTAAAAAAAACCTTTTTATTTATAAATAAATCATCTAGTGTTAGTTTTACTGGTTGAATCTTGTTAGACTTTTCAGGGCCGCGGGCTGCATTATTTTAGTGGCATTTGTTATATGCCACAGCGTAAAAATGACTAAAAAAAATACCGAATGGTCCTTTTGGGTATTTTGCGGCCTCTAACATTGTGAGTCCCAGGGCTATAGCTCTTCTACCCCATCCCCCTCTCCCCCACCTCCTCAATCCAGCACTGGAAATAAGACATAAGTATATAAATAAAAATTATATACTTGTTGATAAATTAAAGAACATTTGTTTCCCTATTAAACAATCATTAATAGTAAGTTGTTACACTATAAATAAAAAATGTCGCCTAATTTTATAAAAAAATATAAAAGAAAGACGTTTCAAAAAAATTTGCTCTAATCGTATTTTTTTGCTTAAAGTTTTTTTTCGTCAAAAGCTGTTTTCTTTTTTTAACTGTCTCTCAATGGTCCAGTTAACCTTGTTGCGCTTTTTTGTTTGTTTTTGAAATGTTCTCAAAACGACTAAAAAATCTGGCTGGTTTTACGCAACTAAATATTATTTCCGTGGTCAATTATCAAGTGCGATCGCACCCGCTTCCCGACCAAGCCTGCATAGTATATATAATATATATATTTTATATATATACATATATATATATTATATATATATATACATATATATATATATATATATATATATATATATATATATATATATATATATATATATATATATATATATATATATATATATATATTTAAAAATACTTACAGCAGCTAATGTTTCAATAATAGCGGCATCTAAAACTCCATAGAGATCAAGTTGATTCTTTAGCTGCCTCAACACTGAAAAAAAAGTTTTCTGTTTTGTATAAACATTTTTTTGTCAAAAAAATTTTTTTTAGACAATTTTAAATAATGTCTCTATTTACTAAAATATTGACATCATTTAAATGCAAATGATATAAATTACATTTAAAGATACATTTTAGTGTTGGGGCAAAAAAGTTACAAAAAGTGAAATCTTCTACAAGTTTGAACTTTTCAGATTAGTTATTTTTTCATTGAAAATTATTGTTTTACAACTACTAAAAGTATTTATTTTGTTTATAGCTTTTTTTTCTTAACTTCAAAATTAAAATAAAACATTTAAAATTATCTTTCATTTTAATAAAAAAAGATTAACCAACATTAATACAAAACTAATTTTTACTTTAACTCATACTTAAAAACTAAGTTAACAGTTTCTAAAAAAGTTACTTAACAACTTAGTTCACAGTTTCTAAAAAAGTTACTTAACAACTTAGTTAACAGTTTCTAAAAAAGTTATGTAGTCAAATTCTGTCAAGTAGTTCAAAGCAGTTCAGCTGAAAAGAATGATACGACTGAGTTTATCAATTTTATATTGTGTAAGTTCATTCTACATGGGTTCAATAGCTTTATATAGCCTTTGCCTTTTAGAGATAGTTCAACTTGATGACATTTGTTTTCCATCATATTGAGATAAGGTGATTGAGCAGGCCACTTCATTACTTCAATATGATTTGTTTTAAACTTTTGTTTAATGAGTTTAGATGCATGTTTGCACTAATGACAGGGCAATAAACCACTATCAATGATATGCGTTTAGGAGAAAAACAAACCTAATTAAAAATCTCTTATAAGCTCTACGTATGCGGAAAAAATGCATGGTAATATTTTTGCTTTTTTTCAGAATAAACTATTTTACTAAAAAACACTGAGGTAAATAAGGAACAGGTATAGAAATGATCAGTTTGGAATAGATAAGTATAGAAATGGTAGGTTCGCTAAAGGCACATATTTTATGGGAGTAGAAAGCTATGATATATATATATATATAAGGAAAAAGTATAGATATGGTTGGTGTGGAATAGACTTACAAAGGCCTGTATTTTTACAGGTCCGGTCAGTTAGTTGTTAATAAAGATGGTAAAGATAAGAATACTTTGCTCAGAGATTTTATCTTAAAAGTATCTGATAGTTTCATGTTGACTATAAAATGGTGTTGAATCTGCTGCAACAAGAAAGAACTTCAAATCAAGCAATTAAGTGTAAATAATTTTCATCCAAATCAGATTTTATTGAAAAAAGATCGATGCGCAAACAAGGGTTGTGATTTAAAATCTTCAGTACAATTTAATTCAAAATATAAATTTGTTTTATGTTTGAAACCAACTCTTAACTGCTTATCAATCATGATGATTAAAGTTTAATATTATTATTTAATTAAAAACATTTTAAATCACTAAAATTTCTTTATTTTACTAAAATTTCTTTTTTTTTTCAATAATTAAAAAAAAAATGTTCAATAAAAATCAAAATAAATTAGTATCTTTAATGTCAGAAGTTCCATATACAGAACAAATTTTAATATGCTTTGTATGACTGGAATAACCAGATGTTCTGTATATAGAACATTCTATATTTACCATTATAATTAATTAAAATTAAAATTAAAACATAACATTTTAAAAATTTTTTATTTATATTTAATTATTTTTCTTATGTTTTTATTATCATTTCAAATTCACAACCCTCGGTATTAGGAAAAACAAGGTTGGCAATTTTTTTGCAGGCGTCAATCTTTTAGAGGTCAGCATTAGGTCAGCAAAAAAATTTTATACTAAGTTCTTACTATAAAATATAGAAATGAGGTCAGCAATTTTTTGCCAACCTCAATCACTGTTTGGTCGGCAGTTAGGTCAGCATAGCTGAATGCCGACGCTAATTCCGAGGGCTGAATTCATAAAACTTAAATAAACATTCACATTCAAATTAATATAGTTATCAAAATAGAAAACTTTCTTTTTTATAAAGTTTCTAATTTCATCAAACTTTTCAGTCTTCTTTTTAATGCTAGTTGTTTCATAACACATTTTCTCTTTCTGAGAGACTGTACTTGTTACTGTACTTCCACAGTTAAGTATTTGTACCGCAGGTATGTATTTGCTAAAACACTTAATAACTAAAAAAAATATTTTATTTAAAGAATTAACATTAATTAAAAATAAAGAGAATTATTCAAGATATGTATTTTAAAAATAACTTTAAAAAACTAATTGATTTACTATGGATAACTTTAAAAAACTAATGGATTTAATATGGATTTTTTTTTTAAACATTAAAGGCATTGAAGTTTAAAAATCATCATTTAAAAATCTGGTCCTTTTATCAAAACTTTTATCAAAATTTATAATTAAAGTTTTAGAAGTACAATTAAGTCAATGAAATGTCATTAATTACATAAATTAATGATTATGTCATTAATTGCATATGCTTCAATTGGTTTGTTTCTTTTCACAAATTTTTAAGACCCTGATAAAAAATGTCTGCGCTAAATATAAGGGCCTCTTAAGGGACAGCCCTGAAGCGATCAAAAAAACCACGCATTACTACTACTAAGATATGTAGTAATGCGTGGTTTTTCTAAAATAATTTTTTTTTTAAAAATGAAATATTAAAAACATTGACATATAGTTTATTATTCATATTGTTATTAATTTAAAGCGCTTTTCATATTAAAATTCACATTAAAAAAATTTATATAAAAATTTATTTGAAATATGATATTAATACTTATTTTAAAGTCTGTTTTTTTGTTGAGGTTTGTTATCATCGTCCTTGTCATCTTTCTCTTCATCAAATTGAAACATACGTCATTTGTATATATAACTAAATTTTCATGTGCTAGGAACAAAATATGAAGGATTTTGTTGAATCAGTATTTAAAAATTACTGTAATAAAGGTTGCAGTTCTTCAAGCAAAGAAGCTTTTGATAAAGCCACACCATTTTATAATAACGCTCAATTCTTGTAGAATTAAAGATAAGATCAATTTCATTCCAAATATCCAGAAATATAATGCAAAATCTCGAAAAAGAAACATCTGGTTTAACCCACCTTATTCACTCAACGACAAAACAAACGTAGCCAAAACATTTTTGAGTACAATTGATAAATGTTTCCCTAAAGGTCACAAATTTTGCAAACTTTTTAATCGAAACAACTTAAAGGTTAGTTATAGCTTCCTTCCAAACATCAAGAGTATTATTACTTCTCATAATAAAAAGATATTTAATTCTCATGAAAATGCTAATCAATTATGCAATTGTCGACAAACCACCTTATGCCCACTCAATGGAGAATGCCTTACAAAAAATCTTATTTATATTTGCAACACAAAAACTCACTAAGAAGAAGAAGGGTTTTATTACGTTGGGCTTACTGAGAAAACTTTCAAAGACAGGTGGTATAAGCATAAAAACTCCTTTGTTTATGAAAGTAAGGCCAACTACACTGAACTTTCAAAATTTGTATGGGAATGCAAAAATAAAGGTATAGAACCTATATTAAAATGGAATATTCTTAATCAAGCGGAGCCATTCAAATCTGGTGGTAAATTTTGCAATTTATGCTTGACAGAAAAATAACAAAAATTATTATGTCACTATTAAATTTGCTTAACAAACAATCCGAGCTTGCATTAAAATGCCGCCGAAAAAATAAATTTCTAATAAAGAACTTTAATGTCATCAAAGCGGACACTTTTTCATTTGTATATAATTTTTGTCGTTACTTTTTTGTTGTTGGTACATATTATGATGGTTATTGCGTGAAACTTTTAGTTAAGTAATTGAAATATATCTTAATATTATTTAGTTTTCACTATATTTGCTCTACTAATTATATAACACGCTGTATTGAGCACTCTTAATGGAAATATTAACATAACTCCTACAATATATATATATATATATATATATATATATATATATATATATATATATATATATATATATATATATATATATATATATATATATATATATATATATATATATATATATATATATATATATATATTTATATATATATATATAATTAGAACCCTGCGAATCAGCATATTTAGTTTTAAATCGAATCTCTAAACGACGTGGGTGTTGATTTGTGAATCTAATTGAATCAATAAGTATTGTAAAAAATCCAAGTTTAAGCATCTTTTTTCAAAAAAGAAAAACTTTACTTACTCCTTCTGATTCAAATTTCAAATTTGAAAAAGAAAGAATATGAAATAGAAGGAATATAAAAGTGTAAAACATTTTGAACCTTAATCAGTGGAATAACACACAAAATATTATTTAATGCTTTAAAGATATAAATAAATGCTTTATAAATTTATAAATGCTTTAAAGATATATAAGAAAAACACCTTTATAAATTGCACACTTTTATCAACAATTTTTACCCTTCAATAAGTGGCAAACTCTTTAAAAATGCTTTTAGTTTTGAGGTACAACATCTAACAAAACAATAAAATTATCTGCCTCAATAAAAACACATGCCCTTTGCTCAATAACTGCTTGAATAACAACTAGAGATATGACACGTTTTTTGGGAGGAAAAAACAAAGGGTCAGTTTTTTTGTTTGTTATTTTGGGAATTATTTAAAAGTTCATTAAGTTACTAAATTTAACTTTAATGGTAATATCTTAATTCATATTTTAATTTCACATTTAAATAAGACAATTAATACTGAAATTTACTGAAGTTCAAATTTTAGAATGCTTAAAGGTTAACACAGTTGGAGCAGCCCTGGATAAAATCCTTTTTACTTTGTCTTCCTCAATTTTATCTTAATTGGTTTTAGTGTTAATATTGACACAATAAACATTGTTTATTTAAATTTATTATATTTAATATTTGATATATATATGCATGTATATACATACATATTTTTGAATTCTGGTTCACTTCCAACAAGACTGCAAGCAGCCACTATTAAGTTGGGGGTTATTAGAAAAAAAAAGAATAAAGTTATAAAGAAA